AAATAGACCCTGGGAGAGAACATATGAGAAAAACAACTTCCTAATGGGTAAAAGTTTAACTCTGGAAAAAACAGCTCAATAATATAGTCAACTGTCCAGTATAAAAAGGACATGCTGTAAAAAATAAACTGAGACACTTCATCAACACGCTCCTGTGTCTCCCCTTCTTCTTTCTCCTCGCCAACTCTGTCTCCACCTGAGGGAACCCCTGGACCTGCAGGAGCTGGACTTCTGCGCGCGCACACACACATTAACCTTTCCTGCACCCACACCCAGGCATCCACAAGAAACAGAAGGAGCTGCAGTCTCTAAGCAAGAGTGGGGAGTGGGCAGCCAAGACCCTATCCCAGGAAGGCGAGAGGTGGAGGGAGACAGGACCACACATGAGCCAAGGCTCCAAGCCCCAGTGCACACTCCATTGTGTCATTAGACTTCACTTACAAAATCCAGTTCAAAGATAAAATCATAAAGAATTTCAAGATGGCGCCCTCAGAGCACTAAGCTCCAAGTACTGGGTCCTGTGTAACTGCACTGCTACTGACACTGCTTCATCCTCCTCTCTCTGAGGCCCTCACCTCAGAGGCCCAGAACCCAGAACTGTGTGTTTCCATTGCCCCAGCCCCAACGCCGCCGCCCCTTAGTGTCTCGGGCCAGGCTGCTGGTTTCCTGAGGGGCTGCTGTCCCCCCACTAACCTCAAGCCCAGAACTTACTTCCTCCCCCTGGGTCTGCAAACAGTGGTATTTGCTGCTTTCCTGAAAATGGTATCTAGTTTCACGATCAGAGCTAGTGAGGCTCAGTCAAGCCAGCAGTAATGTGGGGTTTGCCTTCCTTCCATCTTCACCACACGAGGCCCATGCCAAGCCCTGCCCTGAGCTCTTGGTGAAAGCGCAGAACTCTGACGTGTGGTTGTGGCTGCTCGTCAGTGACGCCCTTTAATCCACCCTGGGGACCGGTGGGCACCAGGGGCCGTAACAGGCAGCACCGCCTCCCCCCTCCTCCGCCAAAGGTAAGTCCTGATTCTCAAAGGCTTGGATCCCGCTGGAGAAAGGTAGGGCTGGGATGTGAAAGGCTCCATGACCCTGAGTGAAGGGAGAAGGGGAGGAGGCAGAGCCGAGGGCGAGTCCTAGAGGGGCCCCTGCCCGTGCAAGAGGACACAGTGAAAAGCCAGGGAGGATGTGGGCAGAGGGGATGGAGGATGTGTGCTGTAAAAATAAACAGAGGAAAACACTTAGTAATATTTTTTATTGAAACTGAATTACACCATGCCAATTTTCTCTGTTGTGTATTGTCTCTTTTTTTAAGACTTTATTTTCTTTAGAGCAGTTTTAGGTTGACAGCGTAACTGAGAGGAAGATACAGAGATTTCCCGTATGCCCCCTACCCCCACACCTGCGCAGCCTCTCCCACCACCAACACCCCCCACCAGAGTGGGGCGTTTGTTATAATGGGTGGACCTACGCTGGCATCATTATCACCCAGAGTCCATAGCTGACATCAGGGCTCCCTCTTGGTCTTGTACATTCTGTGGGTTGGGACAAATGTATGACGACATGTATTCACCATTGCGTACAGCATAATTTCACTGTCGTAAAAGTCCCCTGTGCTCCCCCTCCCTGCACTGTATTGTGTTGGGACGCCTGGGCCAGGGGGCTCTGGGCAGAGTGCAGGGAGCAAGTTTTGTGTTTAATTGGGGGGAAAGAAAGGCGCAAGAAAAGTGTCTGCAGGTTGGCTTCTCTGAAATGAGTGTTACGATTATCTCTGAAAGAAGGGTCGGGGGAACGTGGCCAGGCAGATAGAAAACGGGGCTCTTTGGCGTGTTGGAATCAGGAGGCCGGTCAGAAGGCAAAGTAGGAACTGGGGCCCAGGAGGCTTTGTGGTCAGGGGCGTCCATTCCTTTATTCATTCAGCAGATGCCTCTGGAGCACCCAGGATGTGCAGGCTCTAGCAGGAAATCCGCAGGTGAGAGAAATACAGACGCTGCTCTCCAGGAGTCTAGGCAGGGAAGATGTAGCCAAGTAACCTGGTAAGAGGACGATGCAGTTTGATGGTGGAGGCACAGGGCACTGTGGGCCTCAGAAGCGGAGGATGCTTCTGACTGGGAGCTCAGAAGCTCCTGGAGAGAGGCGCCTTGGGGAGCTTCAACAGGCAGGGCAGAGGGGAGGGTGGCACACCAGGGCCAGGGAGGCCTGGGAGAGTGCAGGGAGCAGGGCATGCAGGGTGTGGAGCTCGGGCAGTGAGGTGGGCCAATGGCGGAAGGGCAGGTGGGAGCACTGCCTGCCCCACATCACAGACAGTGAAAATACATGAGGAAGTGAATTAGGAGAGCTTTGAATACTTGAGCTAGATCCTGGTGGCAGGTGGGGTCACTGAAGGTCATTGAGCACACCAGATAGCGGGTCAGAGCTGCATGCTACAAGCAGCCAAGCAGCAGAGTGGAGGGTAGAGTGGAGGAAGGAGGCCCAGTGAGGAAAGTATTAAAATCGTCTAGGCTGAAGATAACTGGTTTGAAGTGGGGTGGAGAAGAGAGGAGCAATGGAGACAGAACACTTGGCACTGTTCCTGATGGAAGATTAGTGAGGGAGGGGTCAGGGGTCAGAGGTCAGAGGTCTAGGTCCCCGGCTAGAAGAGGAGGAGCCGTGAATGAAGCCTGGAAAGCTGAGGAGCTGGTCTGCTGGGTCGTGGAGAGCATGTGTTCAGTCTTGTTTGAGGTTCCCATAGGAGGCCTTCGATAGCAAGAGACAGCCATCCAGCCCAGATCAGCTTCCACACAGCAAGGCCTGGGTTAGCCCACAGTGCAGAACGTCCCAGAGCAGGGGCTGTACACACAGCCAGGTCCAGGGGCTCACGGGATGGCACTGGAATCTCCTTGTCCCTTTGCCCTGCTCTGTTTTCTGTATGTTGCTTTCGTCCTGAAGTGGGGTTCCCAGCCGGCACGGCAGCAATGGTGGCCCAGCAGCTCACCCTCATAGTCAATGCTTTGGCAAACTCAGCTGTGAGTTCTAATGGCATCAGGATTGATTCATTCTGGCTGGTCTGGGCCACGTGCCCATCTCTGGGTCACATGCCATTTTTGGAGCAGTGGGCCACTCAGATGTCCCTGAACTGCCTGGACAGAAAGTTGTCCAAGAGGAGAACTTGGGGTGGCTGCCAGGAGGAGAAAGAGAGAGTTTGCAGGGTCCACTACGGGCATCCAGATGGGGATGCCTGTAGCTTAGGGCCGAATTTGAGTCATGTGGGAGCTGAAGCTCTAGGAATGAATGAGATCACAAGTGGGAAGGGGTGTGTGTGTGGAGAGAGAGAGAGAGAGAGAGAGAGAGAGAGAGAGAGAGAGAGAGTTAGTTTCAGAAAAAGACACAATAGACACCCTGGAGAACAAGTCAGAGGATAGATAGGAGGATGAAAAGCTCAGAGAAGTGGTGAGAACAGTACTGCCTCAAAAAGGGGAGGCAGGGTGACCAAGCCCATCAGGATGGGGAGCATGAAGACAAGCTGCAGGGTTTGTGACTTGCTGCCACCCACCCAGCAGGAGGGACGTGGAGGCAGAAACTCGGTGAAAGCAGCTGGGACACGAGTGGAGGTGAAGATGTGAAGACAACGAGTTTGGCAGAGAAGGAAGGAGTGAGGTAAGGTTGTCACCAGATGGGATTGCAGGGTCCTAGGGAGACTTTTAAGGATTGAGGAAAAGAACAGGTTTTTCAGGGGGTGGGGAGGAAAATTCCCTCTCCCACTGAGGAAGGTTTCATTGACAAGGCAAGAGAGAAAATTGACTAAGGTCCTGGGGCAGGCAGAAAGGAAGAAGGGATGACCTGGCTCTAAAGAATGGGAACCACATTCCTCTGAGAGGGGAGCCCAGGAAGAGAGGACTATGCAGGCCCCTGACACAGATGGGGGCCAGGAGGAGAAACACAGAAATGCAGCGGAGAAGGCTCCCTTGTTTCCGTGCAGTCAGAGAAATTCTCTGCAAAGAGCAAGGTGGGAGGCAGGGATGGTGTGGGACCTGGGGACAGCGGAAGTGCAGAGCAGCCCCTGTGACCAAGTGACAGGAACCAGTCAGGGCTGGATCCACTGTGATGCAGATAAGCACGGAGTACCCTGCTTCACTTTGCAGCACAAAATGCAGCTCAGCTCAAGACAAGTCTCACGGAGCTCTGTGAGCATCCAGGAACAGGGCCTTCATTCCAGGGCTGGGAGGGAGGGACTGAGGGTGGGTCTGGGCGAGAGGAGGGGCCAGGGAGGCAGGTAAGCCCAAAACGGAGAGACCAAGCTGGCAAAGCAGTGAGCTGGAGGGGAAGGACCTGAGGAGTTTGCTTGGGCTGTTTTGAATGCAAAGCAGCAGAAATAGCCTGGCTGGCTTAAGTCGTGGGATGTCCAGGTCCTTTTCTCTGCAGGGCACCTGGGGTACTATGGGTCTCTTCCTGCCACCTCTGAATTCCCAGGCAAGCACATCTGATTGGCCTGGTCGGGGTCACAGGTGACCGTGACTCCATCAGCTGTGGCCAGGGGCAGGGACTCATGCCAGGATAGGGCCAACCCCTGGGTATTGGGATGTTTCCAGAAAAGAGATAATCAGCATGAGAAAGCCAACCACCTAAAGCCAATTGCCCCATTGGGAGAAGGGGAGGGAAGGGCAGCGGGACTGGAGGGCTGACGGAGGTCCAAAGGGAAGCCCTTGTTTTCACCAAAGAAGCCAGAGACCCGGCCTGCCCCACAGCCTGCACCAGGGCAGGTGTGAGAATTGATCTGTGCTCGGCCCCAGCCCTGCCCTCAGGTAGAAAAGGGGGGCATCTGAAGTAGCTTTACCAGCTCCCCCTGAGCCAGCGAAACACAACAGTCCTCCTCCTGCCTACAGGGCCCCCAGAAGCAGCCACATATTCTCCTGTCCCTGGAGCCTTGGTGAGTGTGTGTGTGTGTGTGTGTGTGTGTGTGTGTGTGTGTGTGTGTCTGTCTGTCTGTCTGTCTGTGTGTGTCTGTGTGTGTGTGCGTGTGTGTATCTGTGTATGTGTCTGTGTGTGTGTGTGTAGGGCAGTGGGGGATTAGGACAGGGCTCACAATCGCCTGTGTTTTGACAGCAACCACCTGTCTTTTCCTTCCCAGGGCCACTGTCACAATGGGTGTGTGCTTGACTGTGTGTGTGCCCTTCATGTGCCCTACGGCAGGATCAGTGACAAACGGAGGCCGGCACACACCAGATGAACCTTCCGTAAGAGCCTTCCCTGCCCAACACCGCCCATGGCCCCAGAGCTGGGAGAATGAGCTTTAACCTCCGCCTCCCAAACCTGCCACAGCCCGCAGTGTCCTCTGACGGACCCTCGCTTACGTGACCAGCGCGGCCTCTTGGCAGATCCTCCCAGGCCAGTCCTGCTGCTTCCACCGCAACCCCTCCTGGAGGCCTTCCCCAACCACCCTTGAAAGATCACTCACCACTTGCCTCTTACCATATGCTGGAATATATTTGTCATTTTTTTTCTTTTTCTTTTTTTTGGCTGAGCTGTTTCATTGGCTAGACTGAAGGACAGGGCAGGGGCAATTATTCTTCTTTGTGTACCCTCCAAAACTTAGCCCAGTGCCCCACAAATTTTAGCTACTCAAGATCTGTATTCTCACAGCTGGGAACAAAGCCCTGATTCACAGTTCCCAAGGGGCTGTGTGTGTGTGTGTGTGTGTGTGTGGGGCCCACCAGGTTTTGACATCCCTAAGGCAGGGCTGGTGTTTTTGCCCAAGCCAAGCTAACATGAAAGTTTTCAATTCATGACTCCCACTCACCTCACGGAGAGCACACTTTGTAACTTTGACCTTCCCAAGTGCTTTTCATGGAAGGTGATTGTTCTCCGCACCAGCTGCCCATTAGACTCACCTGGGAACCGTTTAGGTCCCGTGTGACGCGGCCTCACCCCAGGCGAATTTCATCAAGAGTCTCTGAGGTTCAGCTACATGCTGAGTTTTAAACCTTCCCTGGAGCTCCCTAATGTAAAGAAAGCTGAGACCAGGCCACTGATAGGTATCCTGGAGGGTGATACAGTGCAAAGCTTCTGCGATTTGGAGCCAAATAGCCCTGGGTTCAATTCCCAGCCTCACCATCTGTGTACAGTTTTGTTCCTCTGGACTGCGATATGTCTCCAAAATGGGTATAAAATTCCCATTTCCCAGAATGTAAGGCGCAATACAGAGTTTTAAGTGAGTAGAAGCCTCCTAAAATGACAGTCCCCAGGCCTCCTGAGTACTTAAGGCCTTCACTGAGGTAGACCCTCAGTCTTCCATATCTAGGGACACGTGGGGAAATGAAGCCTCTTCCAAGGGTTCTGTGACTCAGACGATAGCCACGCCACAGAGCTGGAAAAAGAAAAGCTTTATTTTCACTTCTGATTATAGAGGAAAGGATTCATAATCTCCCTAATTTGACCCATTTAAGTGCTTCTACATGTTATACAAAATGATCATTTATTCCCTATTCATTTAAGAATTTGTCATTTTCTGAAGGGCAGCGGAAGCCCCTGAATCAGGTCTTGCAGTCTGGGTGCAGGCCAGCCTGTTAAAGCCCGGCGCTGAGTCCCGCTGTGGGTGAGTCCTAGCGTAGTTCCCGCCCGAGCAGTGAGGAGGCTCAGGCACTGTGGCTAATATCCCTCCGCCTCTTCTCCATGAGGGGGTGTGAGCCCTTCTTGTGGCTGCACCGTCCTGGGAGGCGACAAATCCTTTTCTCGTGGGGGTGTGAGGAGCGTCAGCCAACGAGAGTCATGGGTCTCTTTTGTGTCCCAGGGCAGTTGGATAAGACCCTCTGCATAATGTCACAGACGGGAAATTCTGGGTCCAGAGTTCAATTTCTTACTGATACTAGAGAGAGGTTCATCAAGAAGCCACTTAGAGTTCTAAAAATGGAATAAGCTTCACACATTTTCAAGAGTTTGGAGGCTGCAAATCTTACGTGTTTATCTGAAGACAAACTTAACAGGATCATGACAGGTAAGGAAGGGCAGCTTATATTTGAGAGATGGTACTTCTTAAATTATTATTCAAAGCCCTTAACCATGTGTATATTCAAGTTTATAGTAAAGGAAATACTGCCTGTTATGGGCCGAATTGTTTCCCCTTGCCCCAAAATTCATGTTCAATTTGATAAAATCAAACGCAAATGGAGACCAGCCTTGAAGATTTCCCGGGGCAGACAAACCAGTGTAGTCATACAAACAAAGCTTACTGTAGCTTATTTTGCAAGACTAGCTTGACCTGGGTCATTTCTTGCTTATGCTTCTGGAAATCATAGGCAAAAGTTGAACTGTTTCCCAAGGTTGATATGAGGTGACCACCGAAAATTCTAACATTATAACCAATCGCTGTGAAGAATAAACAGTCACTGCTCTCTGACCACATAAGCTGCTTTATAACACACCCCTGAGCCTCACCCCATATTTTGGTTAGTGCTCTGGTGTGCAAACTCTGGTGTGTGCACAATAAGCTTGTACCAATTACTACTCCAGTGATTCACTGGTTTTACTTCGGTAATTTCTGAACTTTTGACAAATTGCATTCCCCACCCCCACCCCCAACTCAACCTCTAGTATCTCAGAAAGTGACTGTATTTATAGATGGAGACGTTACATTGGTAATTAAGTTAAAAATAGGCCAGTAGGGTGGGCCCTAATCCAATCTGACTGGTGTCCTTATAAGAGGAAATTTGGACACATAAAGAGACACGGGGACACATGTGCACAGAGGAAAGCACACACGAGGGCACAAAGACGGCCACGGAGAGAGGCCTCGGGAGAAACCAACCCTGCAGACACCTTGATCTCAGACTTCCAGCCTCCAGAACTGTGAGGAAATAAATGTCGGTCGTTTAACCCACCCAGTTTGTGGTGTTTGTTATGGCAGCCCTAGCAAATTAAGACACTTCCTTGGTTTGATTTTCTGGGTGTACTTGATACTTGACAAGTGGATAATTTGGGGGCGAGAGGAGAAGAAAGAAAATGGAGTCTCACGAGCTCCTGCTTGCAAAGCACATAGTAGGGGGTCAGGTATGCAGGCAGTGCTCAATAAATATTAGTGACTATTACTTGCATTACTGTGAAAAGGTTATCTGGATAGTCACAAGAGAACACATGGCCCAGGTTCCAAGGACTGTGCCAGGTGAGGTATACATCAAATCAACACACCTTTGCTGGACCCTACGATGTCAAGCTCAGTGTGTAAAGGGTTCATGCATCACACTGTCTTTTCCTCACATTTCATTACACATATCTTTATACAACCAGAAAAATAAAGTAGATTTTGCTTTGTTTTGTTCTTTGAAAGTCAGGCTATTCCTCTGGCCTATAATTAGACAACCTCTGACTTGAGTTCTTTTTGGGGTTGGAGTATTTATTCACTTAAATGAGGTTTTTCAACTTTGGGTATAAAATGGGTGTCAACAGTCTACTTGCCCATTTAAATGGCCAAAGTCCTGTGGAAGACAGAGCGAGGGTAGTGAGGGTTCAAGGTCCCTCTCTCCCACCCTAACTAGCTATATAGCCTGGATCAAGTCATTTGGCATCTATAATGTGAAGGGATTTGACAGAGAAGCTCTTAAATCCCCTTCCAATTCCCCAGTGTGATTCCTCTGATCAAAAAATAGATTTGCCAAACTCCTAAAACCTGGACTCTTTTGTCAAGAACTTCACAATCTTTGGCAATTGCGGCACCTATCAATTTACTGTTGTGCAGCTCCAAGTTCACCATTTGTTGGCTCTCTGAGAAAGTGGATCCGGGTCCTTTAAATATCTGTCCTTTGCTGGCTGACACAATGTTAAGTGCTGTCAGCAGAGGAGAGTGGAGAGATGTTGCAAGAAGGCTGGGCTTCTGTGTGCTCGCTCAGCTGACTCCTGCAGTGCTTGGAGATTCTCCAGGGCCAGGCTCCTGCGACACATGGTGGTCAGCAGCACCCAGCAGCCGGTGCTTCCTCTGGCATCCCCCTCAAATGGCCTGTAGCAAGCTTCCGCTAGTAAGACACTTCCCTGTGAACAGTGTACCCTGGGAACCCGGAGGCTGGACTCCCAGCCAGCCCCACCAGTGTGGCACCACCGGCAACTTGCAGGCCATTCAATGAGTTGCAGCAGTGCTCTGGCAAATGAGCACTGGTCTCCGCCGTGGCGATGGGGCTCTTCCTTGAATGGGCTAGGGGAGAGGCTTCTCCTTACAGCTGTTATTCCTGTATTATTTTGAGTTCTCTTTCTTCTTACTAGCCAATCCTTCATTATTCTATAGCTACATCAAGCTTTCCCTGTTCAAATTAATGTGTGGTTTCACCTTGATTGGACCTTGACTGATACGGAACTGATACCATGAGGAGTCGACAGGCCCACAAAGCTGGGGTTTGGGAATTGGTTTAGTTGTGCCTTTGGGCTTGAGCGCAGTGCTGAGCTCCTTGCCAGTAGAAAATGGGATGGTAGCAAGAACAGACTTGTCATTTCAAGTGGAGCCGGATTTCAAATGTGTGTGGGCTACTGATAAATGCCTCCAGGCTGAGGCAGTGACCAGGCCCCAAGGGCATGGCAGGCACAGCCCTTCCAAGGGGCAGCTGAGGATTTCACCTGTTACCTTGGGGAAACCCACACCATCTCTGATTGCAGGAATCTAGGCATTGCATGGGTCCCTATAATGCATCGAGATGGCCTCAGAGCCATGGGCCTCCGCAGGGCCTGCTTGGCGATAGCACAACCCTGAGCACGGGACCCCAAAATGCTGTTACTGGGCATCTTGGCTCAGGCTTGCCCACCTTCAGGCCAAGTGCCACACTTCTGTTAGAAGGTTTGAAACCTAGGATGGGTGTATAGATAAGACAGATGCATCGGGTCAAATCTAAGTGCTCCAGATTCTGTGACAGTCTTGACTCCTCAGAGCCTCAGAAGAGTCAGTGGCACTTCCTTCAGTCTGGCTGGATTCCTCGAAATCTCTCTCAGATCAGTTCCCATTGAGCTGCCTGTGTCCCCACAGCATGAGCATCACCCACTTGGCAACTTAGCAACAAAGCAAATACTGAGCCCCCCTGCTGCCCCCGCACCCCTGC